TATTATTTCTATTCTTTTTTTAATTAATTGATGCTTATCTTGTGACTTAAAATTTTATCTATTCTCAAGAATGTTTCATACACATTGGAGAAGTAAGTATACTGTGCTTTTTTTGGGTGCATTAGCCTATAAATATCTACAAGATCAAAGTCATTTGTTTTGTGGTTTAATTCTTCAGCATCTTTGTTGAGTTTTTTTTCTGGTCATTTTATCCTTTCTTGAGAGTGTGTATTGAAGTCTCCAACTACTATAGTAAGGTTGTCTATTTCCTTTTCAGTTTTGTTAATGTTTGCTTATATATTTTGCATAGATTTGGTGCGTAGGTATTTATTATTGTTATGTCCTTTTGTTCTGTCAACCCTTTAAGCATTATGTAGTGTTCTTCCTTTTCCTTTGTGATGGTTTTTGCATTGACATTTATATAATCAGAGATTAATATTGCTATTCTTGCTTTTTTCTGGTTGCCATTTGCTTGGTATATTTTTTCCCACCCTTTTCTGTTTAGTCTTTGTTTATCTTCATTTTTTAGGTGTGTCTATTGTAGACAGCATATTGATGGATTTTGGGGTTTTTTTATCCAATCTGCTACTCTTTTTCTCTTCAGTGATGCATTCAAATCATTCACATTCATTGTGATTATTGAGGGGTAAGATTTCATTAATATTGAGCTCTTTTTGGTATTGTTGCTGGTTACTTTGGTCAGTCCTTTTTTCTGTGGCGCTTCTGTAAGAAGGATGTCTGTCAGGGTTTCCTTCAATGTTGGTCTTGTTTTTACAAACTCCCTTAGGATATGTTTTCCTGGAAATATCTTGATTTCTCCTTCATATTTGATGGACAGTTTTGTTGAGTACAGTATTCTTGGTTGTCAGTTGTGTTCGAATGTTTGATATTTATCATTCCACTGTCTTCTTGTTCACATAGTTTCTACTGAGAAATTGGCACTTAATCTTATTTGTTCTCCTTTATAGGTTACTCTTTGTTTTTCACTCGCTGTTTTCAGAATACTCTCCTTATCTTTCATTCCGGCAAATTTGTCTATGATATGACCTGGGGTTTTTCTTTTGGGATCTATTCTATATGGTGTTCACTCAGCTTCTTGAAAAAAAAAATATATGCTTTCATTCTTCATTGTGCCTGGAAAGTCTTCTTTTAGTAATTCTTCCACAAATTTTTAGTGCCTTTACTTGCTTCTTTCTGTTCTGGGATTTCAATTTTGTGCATATTATTTCTCTTAATAGTGTCCCATATTATATTTTCTTCTTTTTCCTTCCTTTTTGATTCTGCTTTTTGTTCTAGCAGGTCAGTGGTGATAATTCTATCTCCTGTTTTGCTGGTTCTGTGTTCCATCTCTTCAACTCTGTTCCTCCTGGTTTTTGCTTTCAGTTTCCTATAAATCTTCAAATTTGTTTTTCATCCATTGAAAATATTCAAGCACTGTTCTTTTAAATTCTGTGTCAGAATGTTTCATCAGACTTTCTGGTTTTAGGGAATCCATTGACACCGTTTCATTTTTTGGTGGTGACATCTTGCTTTGGGCTTGTATAAGATGTGATGTAGCCTGCTTCTTTCATGACATTGCTGTGGTAGAGTTTTTCATGCCTGAGGCAATAGCTGGTTCTTGATCTGAAGTCACTGCTTCAAAAGAGGGCTTGGAAGGCACATTATCACAGATATACTTAGGGTGGATGCATGTGCAGACACATGCAGGGGTGGTGCATGTGGGGGAACCTGAATGGAAAATCAGGAAGCCTTGCTTTTCCCCTTGAGAACTGGATCTGCCACCCCTGTCAAGCTCCAGCTATCCTACTCCCTCTTTCTTAAGTTGAAGGGGCCATGTGGTCCAACAAATAGCAGTGATTTCCCCCCTAAGTACCCCACTCAAATTTCCCCTGTTCTTTTTGTTTGGTGGGTGGACTCTGCCATGGCTCATGGCTCCCTGCCAATGCATGTGGCTCCCCACCAAAGCTCGTGGCTCCCCACCAAGGCTTACAGCTCCCAAACTAATTGTTTTATTAACAGTTCTCACTCAAATTTCAGCTGCTCTGCTCGCGCTCTGTGCATGTCGCTCTCTGCCCCAATTAGGCATTGTTTTTGTGACAACATTCCAGAATAAGAGTTGAAGTGAAAATTGGACTAGGGGAGTGGAGAGAGGGAGGAAATTGTGCAACCGAAGTTTTTTTTAAAGGCATATTTATTTTTTAAAAATTGATCTGAGGAGTAGAGAGGAAAATGAACAATAATAAATGAATGAAAATCCAAGTAAACTGTCATTAAAATCACAATTAAGAAATACACAATAATGATGGTCAAGATCCAATGGTGATTAATTTGTTTCAAGCATAATATATCAGAATGATTGCATGAAACATAATATGAATGAAGGATAGCACGAAACACAATGTATACAAACTTTGTAAGCAACCCAATAATCTTAGTTAATCATAATAAAAAAGACAAAATCTCTGTGATTATAAAACTTTATATTACCTTATATGTCTGCATATGCAATTTACAAATTAAGCATTGCCTAATAAAAGCATTTTCTGATAAAGATAACAAAAAAAACCAAACAAACCCCAAAACCCTTTGACTGGACTATCAAAGACAAAAATATTTTGTATGGATCATACCTCAACATAATAAAACAAAAAAATCCTCATAGTTGGATCAATAAACAATAGCATGATGAATGGGAAAAAACATTCATATTGTTAAGACTTTTCATTTACTTGGATCCACAAACAATACTCATGGTAAAAACACCAAGGAATTAAATCATGTTGCACTGGGCTAATTTGGTGCAAAAGATATTTTTTCAAACTGTTAAAAAGCACTTGAGGACTAAGGTGTTTCTGATCCAAGCCACAGTATTTTTAACCATCTAATATATATACAACAGATGAACAGCAAATAAGGAAGACTGAAGATGAATCAATGCATTTAAAATATCATTTTAGCAAATATCGAATATACCCGGGAGTATCAGAAGATTGAACAATTTTATCTTGGCAGAAGTACAACAAAATGCTCGTCTTGTTACAAAAGAAGTTCATGATAATTTATCTCACATACTTTGGGCATGTTATCAAGAGGGCCCGGTCCTTAGAGAAGCGTATCATTCTTGGTAGAGGATCAGGAAAGGAGAAGACCATTACCCTCAACTGGATTCCATAGCTGCTGCAAAAATGGTGGCAAACCAGCTAAAACATAGCAAAGATTGTGAGTATAACATGAGACCAGCTTATATTTCATTCTTTTTTAGACAGAATTTCAATGAGTTAGAATCAACTTGAAGGATAATGGAAAAAAAAAAAAACCAACCAAAAACAAACCCACAATAATAAAACACTCAATATATTATTTCTTCTTCTATTATGACTCCTGTTTCTCAGAATCAATATGCAAATGACATACAAAAATATAAGCAGATCACATAGCTATATGTTGAACTCTGTACATTTCAACCTTAATAAAGCTTCCAATGCCATGAAAGAGCATTGTTTAATGATATTATTTTTCAATAGTACTCTAAAGCGGGGTTTGCAATGTAAGGAGGTTACAGCACACTTTAAGATTCTCTATGTAGAACACCCATCCGAATTTCTTACTTTGGAGTCTGCCTCTGAAAAGTCTTTCCTGATACTATTGTAGTAAAATAAACCTGCATGGAATCTTCTTTTTCTTTTTTCCAAAGAAGCTTGCTTTTAAAAAAATCTATATAGACTAAAGGAAAAGAACTCAGAGTAGATAATATAGGCAAAGGGAGGTCTGGTGATAGCACTGCTAATCCTAAAGTGGCCCTCCTCTGTCAGTTTGAATCCACCAGCCACTCTAGAGAAGAGTGATAGGCAATCTCCTCCCTCATGATTGACAGCCTCTGAAAACTCACTGGAGGGTCATCTCTGAGATAGTTTCAAACTGAGAGCAATGAGTGAATGACTGAATGAAATAAGACAAGTTCTATTTTAGACTTTAGGGAAAAGTCCCATATTTTCTTGGACTTACCTTTTGGTACTATTAGGGATCAAACTTTGGTAGTTAAAGGAAAGCTTTGCTTCATATTAAACTGAGTGACTAGGAGTTTGTCATTTAGCCTTTTTATGAGATTTGAACTTACCAACTTTGAAATCTTAAAGATAAATGATCTATATCAGAGGGCTCTGTGGTCACTGGATTACGTAATTAAAGTGCTTAGCAGATGTCAGGTACTTATGTTTAATAGTTACAGTTATTCTTATAAGAGTAGTAACATTTAGAGGTCAAAATTAGAATGTAGTATTGTGAAAATTAGAGTGTAGTAGAGTGAAAAGAAGGTGAGAAAATTTGTTTTCAGAGAACTTGGAGGAACAAAGATCATCCAAGACAACCAAGACAAGTTTGGCATCAAAGTGTTGTTTTTCAAAGTAAATAAGAGAATAAACCCTGCTTTCAACAGTAAACATATTACTCAAGACATGCTTGGAACTGCTTTTCTTTCTTTTTTAAAAAATTACATCAGAGTCTGTTAACCAAAGACACACAAAAAACTCTGCTTAGGAACGACAATTCAATTTTACAACTAATTAGTTTGAACATATTTCAGCCCTGGTTTCAAGTTCTTCCTGGCAGTCTTCACAGTTTACATCACTTCTCTGAGCCTGAAGTGTTTTTTGCCACCTTGAGATTTTTTTTAAAAAGTACATTTCTAAGCATAACTTTCCTTCCTTTCTATTAAAATTCTCTGCCAAATTACAAGCCATTATTAGATGACTTCTATTTCAAAGGAAAGGCATACCATTATTCACTTTGACCTGACTTTAAGGATAAACAATCTGATGGATGAAAGCAGAAGGGTACAGAATGTGATCTGACTTGGGGCCAGAATATTCTGCATTTCCCTAAGGATAGTTGCCATTTCACTAATGAAGAAGATATAATTCATTATAATCAGCTTTTGTGTCTGAAAGTGGAAAACCCCAAATGGAAACAGTAAGGAAGCAAATCATGGCACAGGATGGCAATTAGTCAAGCTTGGCTGCAGTAAAATGTCTGTGTTGAAGTGTTATGGGGTCTAAATATGGAAACTGATTTGGAATATTATTGTAGAGGTCACTGACCATTAGACTGAGTAATTGTACTTTATTCAGGAAGTACTAGGACACATTAAAATTTTTAGCAGGCAATTAACATTATGTGACTGAGTCTTTAGGAAAGTTAGCCTGATACCTTACTATTAGGTAAAATAGAGTGTAAAAGATTGAATATGGAGTGATCAGTTACAAAACTAGTTGTAAATAGTCCAAGAGACTAGAATTTCTATTGGATCTTAGAAAGGGAAATGTAGAGGAGACTAGGGAGAAACACTGCAGGGGAACAAAAACTCATTGCAGATCTTAGAATTTACTGAATGTTGTATTTAATCATGTTTGGTTATAATCTGGAACAAAATCTGTCATTGGGGCTCAATTTTTCAGCTAAACAATAGAGAATCGTATTGATATTAGGTTCCATTGAGTTGTGTTTGACCCATAACAACTCTATGAACAACAGATCTGAACCCTGTCCTATTCTGTGCCATCCTCATTCTTTCTGACACACTAGAGCCCATTATGGCAGTCATTGTGTCAATCTACTTGATTGAGGGTCTTCCTCTCCTTTGCAGACCCTCTGCTTTTCTGAGCATCTAATATAATAAGTATGTATCTAATATGACCTTTATGTATTAGATACATACATCTAGTACTTACATTCAGAGATGAACTATCACCAAGGAGATCCTGAACCCAAAGTTCTTTGCTGAAGATCAAACTCTAGAGCCTTCAGTCTGGATTAGATTTCAACATCAAGAAAACAAATTCCCATACCAGTAGGGTTAGTAGTCAACATCATAATAGAAGGAAAAATAATTGAAACGGTCAAGGATTTAATTTTACTTGGATTCACAATCAACACCTGTGATACTGGCAGTCATAAGATCAGCAGATGTATTGCTTTGGACCCATAACAACTCTATGAACAACAGATCTGAACCCTGTCCTATTCTGTGCCATCCTCACCCTTCCTGACACACTAGAGTCCTTTTCCTGAATGTCCCTGGGGAAAGGAGGAACGTTTAGGAGGACACAGAGGTGATTGATTGCCACGTCAATGACATGCTACAACAGCGACACAGCCAATGCCATCAAGCCTTCAGAGTGTGGGCTGGTAAGGCAAGAAGAGGCCGAGGATGCCACCTGCATTCCCATCTTCTGGAACAGCAAGTGGGTGAACTATTCAGACAAGTATGGCCTCAGGTAACAGCTGTATGACAGCAGTGCAGGGTTGCTCTTCAATGACCTGACATGCCTTATGCAAGCACTTGTTAAAGGCAGATGTCAATATCACGCCCCAGCAAGTTGATGAGCTAGATCAGCTACCCTACCTGAGTACCTGGTTCCGCATGCACAGTGCCATCATCCTGAACCTCTGCAATGGTTGAGTACAGATCAACTTTTTCCAGGACCATACCAAGCTCATCCTGTGCCTGCTGATAGCAGCTGTGACCTATAACAATGAGAAGCAGGACTTCTACCCACACCTCCTGAGCCTCCTGGAGGAGCACGGCTGGTCCAAGGAGCTGGCCAACTGCCTGTGCTACACTCAAACCATGACGGACAAGCTGCTGAGCTCACACTCCACCAGCAATCACCTCAAGGCCTCCTCATAGGTCTGCCTTCCTTGAGACAGGTGTTCCCCCTTCACTCCCACCAGCACCTGAAGCCTACAGAGGTCAGCTTCCCTCTCAGTGTTGAGTTTAACATGCCTCCAAGCCCTGAGGGTCAGAGAGAGAGCTCCATGATCCTTGCAGGTGAGGGTTGCCATGTAAGTTATTTTCTCACATATTCAGGTGCAGGTCCTATAGCCCCTACCCCTGACCATGTCTGCCTTGTCTGTCATGTGAATTGTACAAATAATTTCTATTGAATCTTGGACTGCCCTATCCTTTGTTTCATATACATTAAACATGAATCTTAAAAAAAACAAACCCACAACCAAATGGATGGATTGAGAAATTGTGGTACATTCACAAGATGGAACACTATGTAAAACTAAGGAGCAATAATTCCATAAAACACTATATAATATGGAGCAATCTAGAGAGCATTATGCTAAGTGAAATATCTCAGTCTCATAAGGACAAATACTGCATAAGACCATTATTGTAAAAATAAGAAAACTCCCCTTTTCTCAGTTGCCACTAAGGTGCCCAGTTCTTCTGAGGAAGCTAAAGCTGCATTGACATAAAGCCCTCACTTCATCTGACAACTAGCACCACCGCACCATGGCCTCCATCTCTGAGCCCACCTGCATCAACTCAGCCTTCATCCTGCATGACAACAAGGTGACCATCACTGAGGATAAAATAAATGTTTCATTAAAGCAGCCGGTGTCAACGTTGAACCTTTCTGGCCTAGCCTGTTTGCAAAGGCCCTGGCAAATATCAACATTGGGAGCCTCATCTGCAATATGGGTGCTAAGTGGACCTGCTCCAGGCGGGGCCCATGGGCTGGAGGCCCTCCCCCCTTCCACTGCTGCTGCTCCAGCTAAAGAGACTGATGATGACAAGAGGATAAGTAGTAAAATGTGCATAAATTTCCAAAAAGGGAAGGGAGTGGTAGGGGGGTTGAGGGTGGGAAGGGAGGAAATGATGATGTTGCAGAGTTGGTGGGTGGAGGGAGGGGGTAAAGGAATTAGGAAAGATCCTATGAGGATCTGGAAAGAGGGGCTAATAGAGGACAGAGATCAATGGTGATTAATTTTATAAGACACAATGTATGGAAATGATCTATTAAAAACAATGTAAAGGAATGAAGAACTGTGTGAAACATTATATGGATGAAATTCAAATTTTGTGTGCTTACCAATATAAAAGAAAAATAAATTATTTAATAATCCCTCAGTGTACATGAACAAAACACAACGTAAATGAAAAATTGTACAAAACATACAATGTATGTGAATGAAACATAATATATAGGAATGATTGCATGGGAGCCAATAAAATTGTTGTCGTTATGTGCCATCGAGTCGTTTGCGACTGACAGCGACCCTATGGACAACAGCCCTAAACCCTGCTCTATCCTGTGCCAATCACATGGCTTCTGACACACCCATCCTGATTACCCCAGTCACTGAATCAATCCACCTCATAGAGGGTCTTCCCCTCCTGCGTTGTCCCTCC